TTCGCTTTATTGCTCAAGTTCATTTGATCATTTATTAAGGAAACATATTAACATTTTAGAGATACTAAAGTTTCACAGAACACAAATTAGACATTTCTACTGCAGCTGGCTCCAACAGTCAAGAGTATGATGATGATGGGAACCAGCAGTTAGCATAATGGCTATGTCGCTGGACTCCCATGTAGTCAACCGCAGTTCGCGGACCTGGTGGCTTAAAACTTACACCGGGTGCGTGTGCGTGTGTGCCCAAGATCCAGAGAGGAGAATGGAGGAGAAGGGATTGCGGTGTGACCATCTCCCCTGGGGGGGGCGTGATTTCTCGCTTTCTATCTCTATGTCTCTCTCTGTCTGGCGAGCGGGCGCCCCCCGCCCACAGCAAAAAAACTTCCCCAAAAAAAAAAAAAAAAAAAAGAGTATGATGATGATGATAGTGGCAGATCAAAGATACAAAGACAAAGAGATTCTCTCCACTCTACCCTATTTCACCCTACCCCACCCTATAAGTTTTTCTAATTCCCAGGTCTTACTAAATCCATTTTACCAATAAAATTCAATAGGTGTGAGGCAGAACCAACAAATAAGCAGCCTTCACAAAATAACATAGAAACTCTTGAATATTTTATCTAAAACTGTGTATTGAGTTCTAGCTCACTGGCTAATGCACTTGCATTCCAATGAATTAAAATATTTGTTTTCTCCCTCCTTTTCCAGCTTCTAATTTCATTCCGTTTGAGACTATAAAAGATCCACAATGGTGATATACTTTTCTGTCAAAAATATTATAGTGGATTTCATAATCAACCATGAAAACACTGAATACACAACAGACCAGAGGTAGGTTTACAAAAAGTACTTCTATTCAGAAATAGACAGTTTTAGTTAGCAGCTAAGGCAAAAAATTAAATGTAAAAGAAGCTTATAAACATTTACAGGAATTATAAAGTTCTGTTTGTTCCCGCAGTAAAATTTGTAACCCCAGTGAGCAGAAAAAAAATAGATTTATTTCTACTCTGGGCAAATTTAAGCTGCCTATATGAATTCTAAGACACAACACTAATCTAGCTTAGTTTGTATCAATCTTTCAACTTTCTCCACTGTCTACTCCTTCCTTTTAACAAGTCTGCATGCCCTTTCAAAATGTAAAGGATGCAAGGAAACACCAAAATCAGGTTTTGTTCAAAACAAAAGAATACAGTTTATAAAATTAAAGATATATATATGAATCATTTATTCAAATACAGTTGTTCTTCCAGTCTCCATATTTTCCTTTCTTAAAAAAGGTGAGCAACATTTTTATCAGTTCTGTTTAATAATTCCCAAACTCAATGTTCCTTTACTTATTACAATTTTTAAGAATTTTTTACTTAACCTCGAGCGATTCATAAAAGGCTTTCTCTTAAAAGAACTGATCTACATGGTATAGAGTAACAGGATATATGAGTGTATTTACTCCATTTACCTGGTAAATGTTAACTCCCTCTATTGGCATCATTTAAGAGACAGCTTCATCCAACAAGGAAAAAACACAATAAATTTGCAACACAATTGAAAATTTACTATGATGAATGAAGCTCTACAAGGCAGTTTTTAACTATCATAAAAGTAGAAGCATGTAAAAATAATAGTAATGATGATGATGATGATAATTTAATAGTATAAGTTACAGGACCAGAATGCCATATAGTTTTATGTAATTAATACTTAATGTACAAGTATTTCACCCTCTTTCTAAAAAATCAAGTTTTGTATTGGAAACATCGTTAACCTTAAATATAGCAGTGCTATTGGCGCCAATAAGCAAAAGTAAAGTTATTCAAGTAAATATTTACAATATTTACCTAAATCTTTATGTCAAATCTTCAAATTCTTGATCCAGGTTAAGTGTAGCAAATTGTTCCCCAATCAAACAAAAAGTAAAATTTACCACTTAAAACTGGAACATATTGGGCATGGATCTAATAGTTGGGCATAAGTTTAACAATTTGTAATTTCCAACTATATATTAATTTTTAAAAATCATTTTTGAGCAATAAGTTGTACTTATAATAAACTACTGGACACATGTCAGAGGTACAAGTTTTTTGTCCAATTGATAAACGCCCCTAAAGTTATTTTATTTTATTTGTATTTAACTTTTCCATCTACAAAAGATGTGAAATGTGGGAAAATATACCTTATCCTTTTATACATATGGGAATATTTTAATAATAAACATTTGTGGAACACACTGAGATGTACATGCCAAGGAAGGAACTAAGTATGTAAACATCAAGATGATTAACATCCAATTGCTAAGTACTTTTACACATTATCAGTAGGCTCCTAACATTTTTAAAAATTAAATACCCATGCTAAAAAAAAAAACAAAACAATTTTCAATTTTAGATTTTGAGAAATTTTTGCAATCTTCAGCAGAATAAATGCATGCATGTTTGAGATAATCAAGCTAACTTTTTGACAGAGCATTAAACTCAAGTCTTATACTTAATGACTGTCTATGTTTGAATCAAAAAGAAATAAAACTGTTAAAACATATACAACCAGCATACTAACTTGCTATCCCTTACTAAATTTCTGTATTGTGATGAAGATACATGATAAAATACTAGGTTAACAGCCATCTATCCATCCAATAGTAAAATTGCAGGGAATGTGAGCAAATATCAAACTTGTAGACTGAAGAATTAACATGTAACAACAATCTTAAAATAACTCAAATAACAAAGCAGTTCATATTTTTAAAATGATTACACCTGCAATTTAAAAAACACACTGTATTATCTGCTCATCAGAAACCATGATATTCTATTTGATGTAGCAAAGAGGTAACTTGTTAAGTCACTTGATTACTATTTCTTACTATGAAGAGGCACTCTCATGGTTAACAGAATTACTGTTAGAGCTTGGTATCCTGTCTGCCAGTTAAAGATTTTTCAGAGGAAGGTGTAAAACCCAGCATAATACATATACTCTAACTGTGCCATGTTACACCACTAGGGAAAAATTCCTTCAAGGTTGGTAGCACTCAATTTTTGACCAGCATAATTTTTCTTTCTTTCTTTACAAGTCATGCAAATCTTCACATGGTTTTATTTTCCAAAACAAATGCTTTAACTTTTTTCCTAGTAGCCTAGTTACAACCCTACAAAAACAAACCTGGAGAGTGACATATGGAGGGAAAACAAGTTTGGCTAAAGACACAGTTCAAAAAGCAGGTTTTAATAAGAGCATAAAGCCCAAATTGATCTGAGAACAATGTCAATATTTACAAACAACCCTGAAACTACATAGTTAAAAATAGTACCTATAAGTATAATAGATATGATCCCAAGACAGAAATGACAACTAGAAAAACAGTATATATGATTAACTTTGATAAAAAATAGGAAGCCTAGACATTTAATTGATTATGTTAAAACTGTCAGCATGAATGTAAATTCTTCAGAAAAATATGTATCTCATAAACCATATATATAAATACAGTGCCTTTTGGATATTAAGTTTCAATGCATCTAACAAATATCAAGCATAATCTTAAAATACGTATTTTAAACTGTCCAAAATCCAAATGGTTCAAACTGATCACCATAAAATCACAGTATATAACATGTTCCTCTCAATACTAAAAATGGAAATGATCAAGTGAATATCACCGAAAACATAAAATTCTCCATTTCTCACCCAATTACTGAATCAACAGTTTTGAAGGTTACTTTTGTTTTTTTGATTCAGCTCTTTATTTAAAAATATTCTCTGGCACATAATACCATCACTCTCTCTCTCTCTCTCTCTCTCACACACACACACACACACACACACACACACACACACACACACACACACACCCCAAATAATAACTAACCATATTTAGTGTGTTCTAGACTTCCTAAGTAACTCAATAACTACTTCACAAAGTTCTACGAACTCTTCAGATTCAAGCCTGCAGTCAATCTAAGATAGCCAATAGAAAGTACACCTGTGCAATTACTGCATTTCCTATTTCAGAGTGCTGAACATGAAACAATAACTGAGTGCATCTGAAGCAACAATAAATCCAAAACTCAGTTTTGCAAGAGCCATATTATAAAAAAGACCCTTCTGTATTTTCACTATTTAAAAGAGAGTAAACATGAAAGAGTATTATTAATTTCTAATAACAACCACCAATTAAGGATCCTCTACTGGTAAGCAAGTATTAAAAATAAAAGATGACAATGAATTATAATATGAAAATTATATTAGGAAAATATTACTAGCAGAAAAATTGAGAGAAAAAATAAAAATTACAAGATATATTATCACATACCAACTAAATAAAAAATTTAGTTTCTCAAATAAGCAATAAAAAAGAAAAATGAAAGAAAATCTAAATTATAATACCCCATTTCATAGTATCCTCATTTTCCTAAAGATACAATAATCCTTTCTAAGGGTTTTAAATAATTCGGAAATTCAACAAAAAGTAATTATGAAATCAACCCTGGACACTAAGGCATCAATATGTTATGCTATGTAGAAATAATATACTGGAAAACTACTCAATGACACAGTTCTAAAAAAGTTTCATTTTTTTTGAAAATTCTGAAAGTCAGAATTGTAAAAGATGGAGGAATTTCCAAAACAAAGGAAAAAATTTTACCAAAGGTTACAAAGTTTCATTAACTATCTTAACTCTTATACTAAGCATCACCTTTCTGCCCCTCAGTGGATATCACGCAATCAATAACAATGTCACAAAAGAATGTTTATACCAAGGTGCGTAGGTGGAGTGTCACCTGTAATGATTTTGGATGAAAAATGTAAATGAGCCTAAAATAGGTGAGGAAAACTTTCACCTTCCTACAGTCTCACTTTACATTAAATGTTTCTCAGACAGAAATTCACGACAGGTTAGAAACGTTTGACGTGCAAGGCTTGCTTTGTTTTTATTTTTGCTAAAAACAAATCTCCCCGTAAGTCCCGTATTTCCAAACACTATGGAAAAAGTCACTACTACTCACCGCAAGTAATACTGTTTTAAAGCAAAGGCAGCGTTAGAACAACTTCTGGGAAAGTTGAACTCTTCAACGATTTCTCCCCACTGATTCTTCTCAGAAACCTGTTAAAAACACAGGCACACTTGTCTGAAAGTGTACAATCCAAGAAAACCCTGGCCTAACTATGAAGTAAATACCCATTCTACAGAGATCTGTAGATACCTAAGGCATCAGTGGATGTTTCGGATCGATCCGCAAGAGTTACTAAGCAAGGGCTGCTGGAATCACTGTTTTCACAGGCGAGCCCTATATTTAATAGCACTTGTTTTGTATGGGGGGGTTTGGTGGGTTTGTTTTGTTTTTGAAGCCCGGACAATAACCAATCGCAAGTCCCTCTGTCGCCCCCTTTTAAATCTCAACGCGGTCCGTTTACACTAAAAAAAAAAAAAAAAGTTCAAAAGGATCAATACTGTTCCGGACAGCGACGTTCGCAGGTTCTGGGGGGGCCGGGGCCAGGGCCGGGGCCGATACCGATCCCTCTCCCAGATCTATCCATCTCCATAGGCCCTTCTTTGAGGCCTACAGCTTCTGCCTAGCCTTGAAGCCTAAGATGGCTATTTGGAGACAGGTCCTGGTTTCTTTTGTTAGCTGTATAAACCGAGGGCGACCGGGCCGAGGCTGTGCCCCCGGCTGCCGGGATCATTTCGCAGCCGATTATCGATGTTAAACCTGCCCGCGCTAATTTTGAGTTGCACGAAAACTGCTCTCAGAGTCTGTGTGTCTCTGTGTCTCCGCCTGTGCTAGAGCGGCAGCGGCGGCAGAGCTGACTCGCGAG